ATTCCTGCTTCTGTCTTGCAGGGCTCAGCCTCAGCTCCATCTACACCTGCATCTTACACGGCAGCTACTTCTTGCTGGCTGCCCTCATCATGACCTTCCTGCAGATCCCTGGCCTCCCGCGGGCTGTCCTTCTAGTCCTGGTCGTCGCCAACGCCCTCTCGGAGCTCAACCATGCCGTCGCCTTGGGATTTAAGTCGCTCACGGGCCTTTTGGTGGTGGCGGTGACAGGCAAGTCTATTGAACCCTTAAGAAGAAAAGAGACTGGATTTATACCCCGTCCTTCACTACCCAAGGGAGTCTCGGAGCGGCTTACAAGCTCCTTCCCCTTCCCCTCCCCACAACAGACACCCTGTGAGGTAGGCGGGGCTGAGAGAACTCTTGACAGAAACTGCTCTTTTTCAAGGACAGCTCTTATCAGAACTATGGCTTGCCCAAGGTCATCCAGCAGCTGCAAGTGGAGGAGTGGGAAATCAAACCCGGTTCTCGCAGATTAGAGTCCGCGCACTTAACCACTACACCAAACTGGCTCTCAGGCCAACAGAGTTTATTGCTGGGTATAGGCTTTTGTGTGCATGCAACGTTATACCCAGAATTAAACTTTGTTGGTATTAAAGGTGCCACTGGACTCAAACTTTCTTCCGTTGCTTCAGACCAACACAGCTACCCAACTGAAGGCAAGTGTATCGTTGGCTTTCCTCTCCCAAGTTCGTAGATCCTTGCTTCAATGCCCGCCACCACCATCATTTGGTGGTGGGGTACTGGTAATGCTCTGGCCCAAGGCCTGAACTTTTGATGTTGGAGGTTTTGGTTGTTCCTAGAAGATTTAAGCATATGGAGCAGAGGTCCATCGGTGGCTGTTGGCCACAATGTATAGCTAGGGGCTCTGGGGCAAGTGATGCTCTGTCTTTTTGGTGCTTGGGGGGGTCAACGGTGGGAGGGCTTCTAGTGTCCTGGCCCCACTGGTGGACCTCCTGATGGCACCTGATATTTCTGGCCACTGTGTGACACGAAGTGTTGGACTGAATGGGCCACACTGGCCTGATCCAACATTGGCGTCTCTTATGTTCTTATGAGGCTTCATTATTCCTTTTTGATGAATATTGCATCATATCCTCCCTTTTTCCCCGTGATGAAATCCAGGGTGGTGTATGGTATGGCCATGACAGACTGTGGCTAGCCTCGATGGACCTCTGAGGAGCCATGGCTCAGTGGTAGAGTATCTGCTTGGCACGCAGAAGGTCCCAGGTTCAGTCCCCAGCCTCTCCAGTTAAAAGGACCAGGCGGGAGGTGATGTGAAAGACCTCCGCCTGAGACCCTGGAGAGCTGTAAAGAGGGGCTGTGGCTCAGTGGTAGAGCATCTGCTTGGCATGCAGAAGGTCCCAGGTTCAGTCCCCAGCATCTCCAGTTAAAAGGACCAGGCGGGAGGTGATGTGAAAGACCTCCGCCTCAGACCCTGGAGAACTGTAAAGAGGGGCTGTGGCTCAGTGGCAGAGCCTCTGCTTGGCGTGCAGAAGGTCCCAGGTTCAGTCCCCAGCATCTCCAGTTAAAAGGACCAGAAAGAAGGCGATGGGAAAGACTTCAACATGAGACCCTGGAGAGCTGTAAAGAGGGGCCGTGGCTCAGTGATGGATTGTTTTATTTGAACATGATGAATAAAATATGTTAAGACAAGGTGTTCAAATATTTTCCAAATCATTTCTAAAAAATACGTGTGGTATCAGATTGCACGGAGGACAAGCAAGTCCTAGGTTACCAACTGAACTCTCCAATGCAAGAACTAGATGCATTTCTTCCTTTAGGAGGTGCTGTTGTCAAAAGAAAAGAAAAAGGTTTGAGTTCTGTTTTTCCATGTGGGTGGGTATTCTGTTTGTAATAATTGTTTGGGTACGCTATATCTTTAATATGCTAGTTGTGATGATTTCATGCCAAGTAAAAATGTCCATAGTCATATTTTATGTTCCTAAAGTAACAGAAGGGCTTTCAATCTGGAAAAGAAAAAAGAAGTGCTAATGTAGCATTTTTTTCAATTTTTCCAAAAAATTTCCGTTTCCCCCCCGGAAAAAAACCGGGGGGGGGGGTTCTTTCCAAGCTTCAAATTTCTGGAAATTTTACATCTCTACCCAGGATGCATTCTGTTCAGTCACTGACCAGATCCAGAGGATTAGCAAGGGGTGGGGGCTGTATCGGGTGCCTTCAGGCCCTACCAGGAACCAATAAGCTTGTTCTTGGTCTCTGTAATCAGCACTCTGGGAGGGACCCTTCCTAAACCACGTTTCGTGCATTTTCAACCCTTGGCTAAATCATAGCTGCACTGGCAGGCTGCGGTGAGACCGAACATCAAGGCTTAATCAAACAGAAATACTTTGCATCTTTGTACATAAGAAAGCTGCGGTGGCTCAAGTGGTTAAGACGCTGAACTGCAGGCTGTGGAAGGTCGGTAGTTCAGCAGTTCAAGACCTGAGTGTGCCGCATGACGGAGTGAGCTCCCGTCTCTAGTTCCAGCTCCTGCCAACCTAGCAGTTCGAAAGCAAGAAATTGCAAGTAGATAAATAGGTACCACTTCAATGGGAAGGGAACAGCGTTCCGTGCGCCTTGGTGTTTAGTCATGCCGGCCACATGGCCACGGAAACGTCTTCGGACAGCGCTGGCTCTTCGGCTTTGAAACGGAGATGAGCACTGCAACCCTAGAGTCGGATTCGACTGGCTTTCGAGCAAGGGAACCTTTACCTTTACATAAGAAAAAAGATATGCAATGTGTTCAGGGCTGTCAATATCCTCCCCCCACACACACACTTTGAAAGAACACTTGCTAAGTGAAAGTCAAGGAACTCTAGGCAATTAATTTGCACACCGATCTCTACCGTGTCTGCCACATTAATAAGTGGCACTAATGAGGCCGAAGTGGCCTCATTATTAGCTGAGATTTTGACACTTCAGTAAAAACACCTGTTTTCCGTGAGCGTGTGCATGTGTTGTGCGCCGTCAAATTGCATGTGACTCATAACGACCCCATGAATTAGTGTCCTCCAAAACATCCTCTCATTAACACCCTTTCTCATGTCTTGCAAACTGAGGGCTCTGGCTTCCTGAATGGAGTCCAGCCATCTCTTTCTCTTTTTCTAGAGCCAGTTTGGTGTAGTGGTGAAGTGCGCGGACTCTAATCTGGGAGAAGTGGGTTTGATTCCCCGCTCCTCCACTTGCACCTGGCTGGATGACCTTGGGCAAGCCGTAGTTCTGGTCAGAGCTGTTCTTGAAAAAGAGCAGTTTCTGTCAGAGCTCTCTCAGCCCCACCTACCTCACAGGGTGTCTGTTGCGGGGAGGGGGAGGGAAAGGGGTTTGTAACCCGGGGTAAAGCGGTATAAATCCAATCTCCTTTTCTATCTCTTCCTCTTCTATCTCTTCCTCCTCCTCTTTCTCCTCCTAGCATTCTTGTCTGTTCCAATGAGTCTTACCTTATCATAATGTGACCAAAGTTTTTACTGTACAGACAATAAAGTGTGGTAACATTCAATGTTCCCTCTAAGCTGTGGAGTCTTGTGAGCAAAAATTCCACTTTGTGAGCTACTGACATTAAATTTGTGAGCCTTAAGGCAATTCGGAATGTGATACCCCTCCAGCCTATCTTGAGCCAGTTTGGTGTAGTGGTTAAGTGTGCGGACTCTAATCTGGGAGAACCGGGTTTGATTCCCCACTCCTCCACTTGCACCTGCTGATGTGACCTTGGGTCAGTCACAAGCTCTGGCACAGCTGTTCCTGAAAGAGCAGTTTCTGTCAGAGTTCTCTCAGCCCCACCCAACTCACAGGGTGCCTGTTGTGGGGAGGGGAAGGGAAAGGAGTTTGTAAGCCGCTCTGAGACTCCAAGTGAAGGGCGGGGTATAAATCCAATCTCTTCTCTTCTTCTTCTATGCTGCATGTGTATTTGATATTTTATGCCAATAAAGGTATTGTATTTGTATTTGTTTGTGAGCCAGCGATTTGGCTTCTACATAAATTGGTTTGCTCCGGAGCCATCCTTCCTGAGCTCAGACAAAAATGTGTGAGCCGGAGGCTAAAAAACTGTGAGCTAGCTCACACTAACTCAGTTTAGAGGGAACACTGGTAATATTACCACGCTGAGCCATCTGGAAGGGGCAGGCTAGAAATGCAAAGGCTGTGAATGATGCCTCCCCCCTTTCCCCTTCCTTCAGGCAACTGGCTCTTGGAAAAGGTCTGCCGCTGTGCCCTGCGAGGGAAGCTACAGAAAGTTGGACTTGCGTTCTTACCCCGGAGAGTGCTAGAACCCCTCACAACACGAGTGGAGCTGAAAGGTGCCAGCAGCAGTCGGATCACCTCTACTCCAGACAGGTAAGAAGGCCTTCTTGGAGCGCAGACATTTGGGGCCTCCTTCAGATTGTGCATACAAATAAGTTGGCTTGCCAACCTCACTAGATCTGAGACCCTGGATTCTCACATCTTTCAGAAACAAAGGAGCCATTTTGGCGCAGGAGTGGGTGTTCTGTTCAATATAGAACCTTGCCAGCAAGGGATCTACAGTCCACAGCTGAAACTTTCTCCTGTTTCTCTTGACGGACTGCTGGGGGAGCAGAGCATAACAGCCCTGCTGGATCAGTCCAGTGGTCCATCTAGTCCAGCATCCCGTCTCTCACAGTGGCCAACCAGTTCCACTGAAGGGCCAACAACAGGGCAGAGAGGCCCAGGCCTTCCCTTGAGAAGAACACCAGAAGAGCCCTGCTGGATCAGACCAAAGTGGTCCCTCTAGTCCAGCATCTTGTCTCACTCAGTGGCCAAACAGTTCCTCTGGAGGACCAACAACGGGGCAGAGAGGCCAAGGCCTTCCCCTGATGAGAACATCAAAAGAGTCCTGCTGGATCAGAGCAGTGGTCCATCTAGGCCAGCAATACAGGATCTCGTGGGCACTCAATGAAATTGCTGAGCACTTGGGTTAGAATGGATAAAACTTCTTCACCCAAAGAGTGATTAACACATGGAATTCACTGCCACAGGAGGTGGCGGTGGCTACAAGCATGGATGGCTCCAAGAGGGAATTGGATCAACGTATGGAGCAGAGGTCCATCAGTGGCTATTAGCCACAAGGTATAGATAGGAACTCACAGGCTGTGGCAGGTGATGCTCTGTATTCTTGGTGCTTGGGAGGGCAACAGAGGGAGGGCTTCTAGTGTCCTGATGCCACTGCTGGACCTCCTGATGGCACCTGGTATTTTTGGCCACTGTGTGACACAGAGTGTTGGACTGGATGGGCCACTGGCCTGATCCAACGTTGGCTTTTCATTTTATTACGTTCTTATCCCATCTCACACAGTGGCCAACCTGTTCCTCTGCAGGGCCAGCAACAGGACAGAGAGGCCGAGGCCTTCCCCTGATAAGAATATCAGAAGAGCCCTGCTGGGTCAGACCAGCAGTCCATCTAGTCCAGCATCCCGTCTCACACAGTGGCAAACCCTTTCCTCTAGAGGGCCAACAACACGGGCGCAGAAGCCATGGTGTTACATTGGAACATAAAAAGAGCCCTGATGGACCAGACCAGTAGTCTGTTTGCCGTAAGAGCTAAGAACTGCCAATAAAAACTGATGCTAAAAAACACACACTCAGTATCCTCTCCCATGGGTGCAACGCCAAGCCCCTGTGGAATACCTGCAGCTGTATTCAGGAGGGTCCGTCTTGGGAGCGGGGCGGGTTCAGGGGTTCTTATCGCCACAAGGAAGGTGCATCCGTTGTTTCCTCCTCCTCCACCACCAGCCACATCTCAGCTGAGCCCGTAGCGATCAGGTTCTGATCCAGCCCAAAGATCTCCTTGACTTATGCCCCGGCCGTGTACATGTTCCTTGGAGGCCCTTTTTTTACCTTGAACCTGTCCCCTTCGTGTTAGCTGCCCCCTCTGTTGTCCAAACTTCCTAGGACATCTCCTGGACTCACCCGTGCAGCTTCTACTAATCTCTGAGTCCTGTGGGCTTTCTTCAGAGACCTCTGTTCTTCCCACTAGCTCCTCCTTTCCTTGGATTCTGCGTTCTCTTCAGCCCCCACTTTTGTTTAGGCTTTCAGCTTCTTTCCCATCTGGGCCCTATTTCCTGGGGAGGGCGGGTGGTTCAGCGGCAGAGCCTCCGCTTGGCGTGCAGAATGCCTCAGGTTCAGTCCCCAGCAGCATCAACAGCGGAATGGACCAGGCAATAGGTGATTTGAAAGACTCCACCCTTAGCGGCCGTGGTAGAGCGTCTGCTTGGCATGCAGAAGGTTCCAAGGTCAGTCCCTGGCATCTCCGGTTAGAACAGGTGGTGTCAAACAAGCGGCCCGGGGGCCGGATCAGGCCCCCGGAGGGCTTCTATCAGGCCCGCAGTGGAACTTGGCTGTCTTCTGCTTCTTCTTCCAGTTCTGCTGCTGCTGCGTCATTGTAGGTTTGCAGCTTACAGGTACACACCCTAACAGCATACTTAAGATTGCAACAGCACAGACATTTTGACGCAGTAATTCAGAGCAAGGGGTGTCAATTATCAGACACTGTGAAATCAACCAAATATTGCAGGAGTGCAAATGTTTTAAGCATGTTTTAATTTTAAAGGGGGAAACCCCACTTTTGTGTTTGTGTCCTTTATAAAGTTTATATCTCCACTATCTGGCAGTACATTTTATGACACACCTGGCCCTGCCCAGCAAGGTCTCATTTATGTCAGATCCGGCCCTTACAACAAATGAGTTTGACAACCATGGATTAGAGAGTAGGCAATGGGAAGACTTTGGAGAGTCGCTTCCAATCTGAGTGGGAAATACAGACCCTGAGTAACCAATGGTTTGATCCAGTATAAATGCAGATTTATGTGTGTTTTGCGGAGGGGCCGTGCCTCAATGGCAGAGCCTCTGCTTGGCACGCAGAAGGTCCCAGGTTCAGTCCCCGGCATCTCTAGTTAAAAAGGACCAGGCACGGGGTTATGTGGAAGACCTCTGCCTGAGACCCTGGAGAGCTGTAAAGAGGGGCTGTGGCTCAGTGGCAGAGCATCTGCTTGGCATGCAGAAGGTCCCAGGTTCAATCCCTGGCATCTCCAGTTAAAAAGGACCAGGCAGCTGGTGATGGGAAAGACCTCCGCCTGAGACCCTGGAGAGCTGTAAAGAGGGGCCGTGGCCCAGTGGAAGAGCCTCTGCTTGGCATGCAGAAGGTCCCAGGTTCAGTCCCCGGCATCTCCAGTTAAAAGGACCAGGCAGGAGGTGATGGGAAAGACCTTAGCCTGAGACCGTGGAGAACTGTAAAGAGGGGCTGTGGCTCAGTGGCGGAGCATCTGCTTGGCATGCAGAAGGTCCCAGGTTCAGTCCCCAGCATCTCCAGTTAAAAGGCCCAGGCAGGAGGTGATGGGAAAGGCCTCTGCCTGAGACCCTGGAGAGCTGTAAAGAGGGGCTGTGGCTCAGTGGAAGAGCCTCTGCTTGGCATGCAGGAGGTCCCAGGTTCAATCCCCAGCATCTCCAGTTAAAAGAACCAGGCAGTCAGGTGATGAGAATGACTCTCTGCCCAAGACGTTGGAGAGCTGCCGCTGGTCTGAGTGGGCGAAATGACTTTGACGGACCGAAGATCTGATTCAGTTTAAGGCAGCTTCATGTGTTCGTTTGTTTATTTAATTTGTATCCTTCCCTCCCTGCCAGGCAGGCTCATGGCGGCTTACGGCATATGTAGAAGTATTAATGTATCTCGCTGGCTTAATATGTTTAAACAGTAATAAAATTAAAACCAGAACATGTGCAGACAACTGCTAGTAAACATAGTACTAATAAATGGTGGTGGCGTTGTCTCAGCATCTAGATAGTCAAATTGCCACCACAGTCTGAGTTCTCCTCAGTTCTCCATTCCTCCACTTGCAGCTGCTGGATGACCTTGGGCAAGCCGTAGTTCTGATAAGAGCTGTTCTTGAAAAAAAAACACATTTCTGTCAAGAGTTCTCTCAGCCCCACCTACCTCCCAGGGTGTCTGTTGTGGGGAGGGGAAGGGAAAGGAGTTTGGGAGCCGCTCTGAGACACCTTTGGGTAGTGAAGGGCGGGGAATAAATCCAATCTCTTCTTGCCAGGCTATAAGATATTGAGCTGGTGCTGATGTTGTAGGGCTGGGGGCCTCGATGTGAAGTGGCGGCCCCTAATCAAAGGCCTGGTGGAAGAGCTCCGTCTCGCAGGCCCTGCGGAACTGTAAAAGGTCCCGCAGGGCCCTGATGGTCATCCAGGAGCTCATTCCACCAGTATGGGGCCGCCACAGAAAAGGCCCTGGCCCTCGTCACGGCTAGCCTGGCGTCTTTAGGCCCTGGGAGGGCCAGACGATTTTGGGACCCCGATCATAGTGCCGAGGCCAGCCTGTGTGAGAAGACCAAGTCCAATATTGCCGGGGGCTCCAATGGAAGGGACCACCTTAGATCTTTTTACGTGGTGGGCACCGTAGGGCACAGCAGAATTCTTGGTTTGGGCGCTTTCTATGAGGAGAGTTCTTACCCTGCCGGGGGCACCTCCTTTTGCTTGTTCTTGCTGCAGAGACTGTGATGTTGACCTCTTGAGAGAAGAACTGGAGAAGCTAGATGAGATGAGCTGCCTGTCAGGTGAGCGCAGACGCGGAGCGTGGCCAGTCTGTGGTGGTGGTGGGGGGGTTTACCCCCCAAAGGGGAATTTTTTTTATTTTTGCCTTTTCTACACACTACACACCACATATATGGAAAGGGGAAAGGAATACTAATGCCCTATCACTATTATTAGGGGAAATGGGTCAGGGAGATCTAGATACATGTAGTCTACTGGATAGGGGAAGGAAAGCTACCATTCTATTCTAAATCTCCTACTGGATATGGGGATAGGGTAAAGACTAATACAAATCACGCTCTGAGAAGCTAAAAGAATAGATCTTTTTAACCTATTGGTACAGGTCATACAGAGATTAGTTCGATTATAAAGATATAAAGTTATTAGCCTGGCACAGTTACTGCCCTTAGCACTCATGCTTTAGTTTTAGAGTCTTTTCTTCTTAGATTTCTTCGTTTTCTGCAGTTTGGGAGCGGCCTCTCCTTTCTCCGATTCAGATGATTCTGATGATGAGGAAGTTCGGCTTGTTGAGTCCTGTGAAGTAGGACTCTTCCTCCTCCTCCTCTTCTTCTTCCTCCACATTCGGTTTTAAATTCTTTTCCTTCTGCTTCTTTTTTACATTAAACATTTGATCCATAAATCTTTCCGCTTTTGGAACAGAGTCAATTTTATATTTTTTTTAGCCTGATAATTAAAACTCAACTCTTCCGGGAATAGCCATCTATACTGTGTTCCCTTTTTTTTGCAGGGAGATTTGGTGGTGGGGATTTAGGGCACCCTACGAAAAGCAGGCTCTTCTTCGACCCACGCAGAGCGGAAAACTTAGTTTTGTAGGAGAATGGGCTTGTCGGCAAGGGAGAGAGCTCTGACAGAAACTGCCCTTGAGAGAACAGCTCTGAAAGAAGCAGGTACAAGTGGAGGAGTGGGGAATCAAACCCAGTTCTCCCAGATTAGAGTCCGTGCACTTAACCACTACACCAAACTGGCTTCCTGCCTGAAATGTTGAACTATTACTGTTATCTATAACCTTGCTCCCTGATATTTTGTGGTTGGCTCTACCTCCTGCAGCAGCCATTTTTGATTGGTTCCACCATCTGTGGCAGCCATTTTGTGACTGTGCCAACTATCTTGTGTCCGAAGGTTCTCCCAGGCTCAAAAGTCTGAGGATCCCTGCAGGCTACTGTGTTATTAGATGACCAGTTTGGTATAGTGGTTAGGGGCACAGACTCTGGGAGAACCGGGTTTGATTCCCCACTTCTCCACATGCAGCTGCTGGAGTGACCTTGGGTCAGTCACAAGTTCTCTCAAAGCTGTTCTCTCAGGAGCAGTCCTCGAGAGAGAGCTCTCTCAGCCCCACCTACCTCACAGGGTGTCTCTCGTGGGGAGGGGAAGGAGATTGTAAACTGCTCTGAGACTCCTTCGGCTAGTGAGTGAAGGGCGGGGTATAATTCCAATCTCTTCTCGTCTTCTTCAGTAATCCAGCTTAATATAAGGGGAGTACCTTTGTGTGTATTCGTTGAATTCTTCTTGTGTTTCTCTTCATGCTTCTAGGAAGCGTGGGTCTCCTCTGCCCCCCCCCTCTTCCCATTGCCAATGGCCCGTGCTTCATCTTACAGGTCAAGACCACGCGGGAAGAGACTCCTCAGTGCCTGGAGAAGACTTCCTTCCAGACAGGGGCTCTGTGCTGCAGTCCGCAGGGTGGAATTCTCAGCAGGGTCTTTCCCTCCATGCCATGAGTCTGCGGCGCATGAGTTTGATCCGCTCCAAAAGACATGAGGTATCGGGGACACTTGGTGGTTGGGGGGTGTGTGTAGAAAAACTCCGGGTTTGACACACTTGGCCTGCAGTTCTGGTTCCAGGTATCCTCTTTGCAAGCCATATAATAAAAAACCAGAAGTAGGAAAGGAAGCTCTCTTTGGAACTGTCGTTTAGCTCAGGGATGTCAAACATAAGGCCCGGGGGTCAGAATTGGCCCATCCAGGGCTCTTAACTGGCCCACGAGCAACCACTGTGGGTAGAAATACAAGGTACTCCCTCTTTTGGTGTCGTGGTTAAGTGCGCGGACTCTAATCTGGGAGAACCAGGTTTTATTCTCCACTCCTCCACTTGCAGCTGCTGGATGTGAGGGGTGACATGATCGAGGTTTATAAGATTATGCATGGGAAAGAGGAGGTAGAGAAAGAGGTACTTTTCTCCCTTTCTCACAATACAAGAACTCGTGGGCACTCCATGAAACTGCTGAGCGGCCAGGTTAGAACGGATAAAAGGAAGTCCTTCTTCAACCAAAGAGTGATTAACACTTGGAATTCACTGCCACAGGAGGTGGTGGCGGCTACAAGCATGGATGGCTTCAAAAGGGAATTAGATAAGCATATGGAGCAGAGGTCCATCAGTGGATATTAGCCACAAGGTATAGATAGGGGCTCTAGGGCAAGGGATTCTCTGTCATCTTGGTGCTTGGAGGGGGTCAACAATGGGAGGGCTTCTAATGTCCTGGCCCCACTGCTGGACCTCCTGATGGCACTGGTATTTCTGGCCACTGTGTGACACAGAGTGTTGGACTGGATGGGCCTTTGGCCTGATCCAACGTTGGCTTCTCTTATGTTCTTATGGATGACCTTGGGCGAGCCGTAGTTCTGGCACAGCTG